AGGGACACGCGCGCAACGGGAGAGTTGCGGATTGTATCGGCGCATTGCTAGGCGACAACACTGAACGCTTGGATAACGTAACAGGAAGGGCGAGTGACGTCACACTACGCGAAGCTCGGTAAACACCCCTCCCCGCTAGACTGTGACGTCACATAACAGTGGAGTCCGTGCAGCTACCGTTGCTAGGCAATCTGTCGGTAAACACGTCCAACAATATAGGCTGATTCTGTGTGGTCCGCGAGAGGACTGTGTAAGGGGGTTGAATGCAAATGTGACTTTGACTTTGACCTTGACCTGACACCCTCAGTCTTATGTTCCTCCCTTAGGCCCCCCATACACACACAGTTTGGCTTTCCGATCGACCTTACAGGCAAAACTGACAGTTTACCCCCTCCATTTCCTCCCCATACACGCGCAGATAAAGCGGCAGGCTTCATGCCACAATCACGGTCTTCCAGCCTATAATGTTGAGTCACACACGTCACGTGCTACGGTCCTGCAGGCAGAACTGACGGACTGACGGGTTTCCCACAGGCCAACAGTCCAAACAATTGGCCGGCCGGCCGCACCACACACGTCAGTTTTGCCTTTCAGTCTTCAACTGTGTAGGCCGAACTGGAGGCCAAACTGTGTGTGTATGGGGGCCCTTAATGTCAGAGACCAAGTTTCACACACCCATACACGTGACAGTATTGTGGTGCGTCAGCTGTTCTATCGGTATTGTGAAAGGTCGAATATACGCGGTGGTTGATGCAACAGCGAAACTGTCCACACTTGTTCTTCAGTTAACCCTAGGGATGTGTGTTGGAGGCCGATGATACGAGGGCGAGTCAGTAAATAGGCAGACGCGCATGCGCATGTTCAGAGGCACGTTTCAGTGGTCAAAATGGTGACCGTGCTTGAGGGTATTACCGAAGAGCAGCGTTCTGTTTTATTTTTTTTTGCGAGAGTGTTCAATGCAAAGGATATTCAACAATTAATGTTTGTTTACGGTGGGAAGTGTTTATCTCGTTGAGCCGTTCATAACTGGGTGGTAAACTTTTCGGTGATGGCGAACGGGCCGAAACGGAGGCGCGGAAATGGCAGAGCAGTCAAAACACTTGTTCGTATGCAGCGGCTTTCGGCACGCTGGTAAAGCTTTGGGACAAGTGTACCGGCAGATTCGAAAGGGTTGTGACGATGATGGATGACACACAGAATCACTAATTCCAAGTGTATCGGTGTTGGTGGAGGATATGTTGAAATAAATGTTTTTTTCCGGGTTCCAATATCACATGTTTTACCTCAACTATTTACTGACTCCCTCGTTCTAACCCCACCAGAGCACCGCATGGGAGAAGGAGTGGCTTATGAGTACAGACAGCGTGTTGAAGCTGCTGAATGTATATGTCGAAAAGTTTTAGAATGTTATTTTCTTTATTTGAATGCGAATGTTAATTCTGTTCACGCATCGTGCCATGTGCTTGCTGGGGGGACGTTTGGACCCCACTCCCCTGCAGCCGCGTCCCTTTGTAACCGCTAGCCAGAAGGTAAGAACCGGTTCTGCTGAAGGAACTGGTGAATTGTACTTCATTCCCCTGTCTCTTCGGCCTGCACACTTACTGGAAGTTGCTCACAATGCAGTCCTATTCAGCAGATAAAATTCACGTCTGTAACAGTGAGGAGAGGAGATGCTCGGGCTTGGATGTTGAAAGTACGGCCCGCAAGTCGGATTCGGCGCAACTATTTGCTCCAGCCCAAGAATTAGTTAAGAGCTTTGTACGGTTATTTAATGCCATGCGACATGAACGGTTTTGCATGTAAGGTTGAATGCAGCTGGGACGTAGCAGCATCTTAACGCGAGCACACCTAACTGCACGTGACAGTCAAGTTACAAGTTATTACACGTCCTCATGGGACATTTAATGGTGATCGATTTGGGACAGGGTCATACTGTTATGGCAGTGCCTTTGTTTAAGGTGAGAGCAGAATTCAATGCCGTTGGTATCAGCTCCAGCTGAAGTACTGCGAATGCTCAGTAATATGCATAGTTATGCTTGCAAAGTTAGTGCAACGTTTAACAAAGATGGTGAAGAACAGTATTTTGTCAGGCTTTTGGGATCTGTTGGTTTGTGCCTAATTAGCGGCGACGGAATCGCCACATTCAAGACCTTGCTTCCTAACATCAGTTTGCTTTGAAGTATTAAGGGTAATATGTATAAGTTTATCTTGAGATGCAGGAACAGGGGAGAAACCGAAAAGTTTTTGTATTGGAAGGGAAACTTCAATTTTACACCCGAAAACAATTTGCAAGAAGGAATGACTTGGCCATCTGAGCATAATAAACCATTCTTGAAGTGCGTGTAGCTGAAACATTTTGCCCAGAGAACAAAATATCGTTTGAAAATATAAGTGTATTCAGAGGAATTTTATCGTGATGTGCTAAAAGAGTTAAATGGCAGTTTTCAGGCGTTTGACTACTTCAGTGTTGCACCCAATGGTGGCACAGGTGCAGATGCACAGCTGAGTACCCGAGTTGCAAGGAATGATCAAGGAGTGTGTTGCCAGTAGTGATTTAAGTTATGCAAGGCACAGCTGGTGAAAATTTGTATGATTCATCTTGGAACAATTTAATTCCTTTGGTTACAGATGAATCATCGCCATTGGCAGGTACAAACCTGGACTTCTGTAAAGGTACAGGGTGCAGTACATGAAATGGATCCTAATGTGAAAACTTTTTTTTTCGCTCGGTTATTCACCCGGTGGTAAACACACTCCAAAATTAATTTATATTTGAACAATATGACAAACACAGTAGGGGGTTAGAACTGCATACAGTTCGTATTTCTGTTGCGTCATTTGCATGTACCATACCGCTTACTCCAGTGCTAAATGGCTTAGCGACAAGCAGACATACTGACATTCTTGGAGGTGAAACGGTGAAAGTTAATTATCTGATGTACCCACACTTGAAAGATGAAGAATTCGAGGTTCCCACATCGGTGGCTACAAAGAGTTCTGTTGTATGGTATATAATGCCATGTAGTCCGTTGAAAATTGGCTGACGTTTCGGAGGAGCCTGTTGCCTCCTTCAGGGTCGAAGAAGGCAGTATGAAGCACGTATCAAGCAGAACGGCTGCAGGTATTGCTGTGTTTGCGTCAGTTTATGTTATCGTTTTGAGGACCGAGGAAGAAATGTGTGTGGGGCTCCACTTCTGTGTGCTGTGCTACCCTAACAGTTTTAATATACGCCGTCTGTTGTTTCATTGCCCCATATGGTTAGACTGATGACCTTGTATTGATCGTGAAAGGCCGATTCACATTTATTAGGAAGGATATTTGTGGAACATGCGTCTCACAGTTTTGTCTAGTGGCTTCTGGTGAGAATGGTACATTAAAAATGAAATTTCGACTTTTGATGTACCACATCAGGGGACTTGTAACTGGATTCCCAGTTCAGATCTCTGTCTGAGGACATGTTGATCTTTTTATGGTTTTTCTTATCCAGGCAGATTCCAGGATATTGCCTCACGTTATGCCAAAACCACTTCCTTCCACGCCCTGTTGACTTCATTATTCACCAATTATCCTGCAGTTCTTCATAATTTGTCCTGACAGCATCTTTAAACAAATCATAGTAAGACCCGTGATACTTTATGTCTTACAACTTGCATAAGCCACGTGCAGGATTTGTTCTCATTTTATAATACATTTTGACCAGTATGATGACATACGGCATAACCCCTGGTTTGTATGGTGATCCATTGTGTGTTTCCAGGTCTGTTAGCAGCCACTTAGCAAAATTCACTTGGTGATAACGTTTAGACATTCCCTTAGTCTCGGGCAACTCTGCCCTGCCATGTCTGGAGCCCTGATAGTACAGAATTCAGGTACTGGGCTCGTGTGCAGTTTCGGTTTGAGCTGGCTGGTTGGAATGTGAGGTGTGAAACGTACAAGCACTGTACACACCCATTGCATGGGTGCTGCTGAATATAAACCTGTTCAGTATGTTGTTTTGTTTCCAGCTTTATTTACAATTATATTACCTTAACTGATGTCAGGTTTATTGCGCGGTCCTCTACCCCACAAAGTGAGTATTGTTATAGAGTTGTTACTGTTTGCACAGTGACCATTTGGAGCGGTTGTTGGAAACTGTACCTTCTTATCTTGCATTCCTACTCCAGATGAATGTGTTGACTTTTTGCTGATACTTGGAACATTCATGTAGATAAAAGGCTGCTGATATGCTAACTGTGGTTGAAGCTGAATGTTAGAAATATGACTTGAAGTGATTCCTATAATCTCAGGTCCTAAATCAGGCGCTGTAGGAGAGTAGGTGTTAACTCCCATGCAAGTTTCTCGTTAAAATTTGCAATTCACATCAGGAGATGCAGGGGCAGACCATCTTTGTGTCCCATAATTGTATGGTTTCATGATATTTGTATGCATATTAACCTGCTGCACTCTGATTTTGAATCGGTGTGTAGAAGTGGGCCCAGAAATTGTGGTGTCAGGGATCACTGTTTTACTCATGCAGGGATAAGTTCAGTTTTAAACCCCTCCCATGGGCCAAGTTTGACAGCTGTGGAACATCTAAGTGTTCGCGTGTCAGTGGCTAGTTTTAGGGTTGTGGAGACTGCACCTCAGGCAAGTCTAAGTGGGCATTTATTTGACAGTGGATGTAGTATACTGTTGACTTGGGCTGCACATTGGACTGTGAAGAGGAATTTGTCCTCCCATGTCAATGCTTAATATGCAGTATACTGTGTAGATTTTTATGATTCATTCGAGACATTTATTTCCATATGTATTAGTTAATTTTAATAAGAAGTGCCAAAATGAGCATGTACGAGTATGAGGTGCCTTTCAATTGCACTATATAGCTTTCAGAATTGAGAACTTGATAGGTGAGTTCAGTGTATTAAACCTCAAATCGTTGCATATATCCCTCCTGTTGACTTAACAATAATTATCATACTTATATGCAATGCATTAATGGCGATAATTGCTATATGTTGCAGGACCAGAGGTTAGCTTCCATGTGCCAAATGCTGGTTTCCCCCAACAGCAAGGAGGAGGGGCTGGCCCCCCAAGTGCACCCCAATTGAGGGCTATCCATCATCCACATCACAGTGGTAGCCCCTCACTCCCACCGCCACACCAACAACAGCCTCCTCCACAAGCGCAGTCACAACATAGTGGGGGACCCCAGGGCCCCACACCAACTTCAACCCCTCCAGGACCAGCTGAAATGGGCAAGCAGGGTCCACCACACATGCAGGGTCAGCCACCATTGCAGCAAGGTGAGCATCACTTGACTGATATGCTGGGCAATGAATTGGGACTCGCATCACTGTTATCTTTCCCATCCTGTGTCCCTGAGATGGCTGACAACGTGGTGCTGGGGACAACAGTCTTTCATTAGATGAAATGGATGCTGGAGCAGGCATGTCAGTACACAGGCTGTACAGATATGGCGTGCCATTACACAGTGTAAAAGAAGTGATGTGGTGTGCTGTAAGTGCACAGCAGATTATTCGCATAAGAATACGCCACAGAATTTGTTGGCATGCTGCAAGGCTGACTTTATCAAATCTGGCGAGTAGTTGTCATAAAATTTGGTAGGTTTATGGCATTTCTTTGCGCTAATTAGTAATGAAGTTCTGTTTGGAGAAAACCAGCACTGCTGGCAGGGGAACTCCCATGCGCTGTTCACTCTGCAGTTATGCAGTAAAGTACTGCTGTGCTGTTGCAAGCAGCACCTTTCTGTCTCACAGGAGCACACCGTGATGCTGTATTATTATGCCTTTGTGCATCTGTGTGCCAAACAACCAGCCACGATTTTACAAGTAAATTAAAACTGTCCATTTACATTAGTCCACTGGCTAAATCATCTACATATTTTGGTATGTAGACTTTGAAATAAACGAGCTAACAGACCTCTTTCTTAGCAGTGGCTTGCTAAACACATTCTCGTGGAAAGGAGATGCACACAACAGCGCAGTTGAATGGAAACGGTGGTCTTTTCCACGTGGGCCATCCTGAGGAGTTAAAATGAAGAAAGTTTGGGCAGTAAGCAGGAGAGAGGACAATTTGAAGCAATGAAGCAACCCCGTATGGATGTAGGCCTTCCGAGTTGTGGGAGGCAATGAAATGGGAACCCAGTGCCTGAGGTACAACTGGACCACTCTGTTCCTGGGGTATATAAATACGGGGCCTGTCCCTCCAGGTTGAGGGAGTCTCAAATCTGAGGCAGTAACGTATGATCATGAGTCCAATGGGTCATTGACCAGAGAATGACTGCACTGGTGATGGCCATCAGCATTTGTAAATGATAGACCATTTTTTTTTTGTCAGAGAGGATGTTAAGTGAGGTTTGTGACCCTGAGTGTTTTTTAAGAGTTGGAAAAAAAAGCTGGTCGTGAGTTTCAAGGGGTTTGTCACCAAGATGAACTGATTGGCAGTAAACTGCCGGTTTTAAAGCAACTCTGACTCTGACAAGTAGAAATCATGCAAATTCATGAGAATAAATATGTTTGGCATGTAGGACAAGGCGAAGACAGAAAATATAAGAAGCTTAAACATGGCAGCGGTCAAGTTTATGACCGTTCAAGTGACTAAGGTGCCGTTGTAGCATAAGATATGTAAGATAAGCATGATCTGCCTGGCAGAGGACTTGTGTATCATGTGAAAGGAAGAATTTTCAATAACATGCTATATGTGCGATACCTGCATTTGTTGAAGGGCCAAGAATATTCATCAGAGACAAACATATCCTGACGTAAGAGAGGATGTTACATAAGGACTATTACGACAAGGATTCAGTTGAAAAAGAAATCTCTGGTCGTGGGTCTCAAGGGGCTTGATGCCATGATGAACTGATTGGCGGTAAACCGTCAGTGATAAAGTAACTTTGACTTGAATGATGTTCAGTTAACAGGAGTTCTGTATGGAACTTGAGCACAAAAGCAGAAGAGTAGCCGTTGTTAGCATCAGTTACTAAGCAACCCTAGTGAAGACTGTAACACACTGAGAAGACAGTGTGTCATATAGCTATTTGTGAAGTGTAGTAACAGTTGTGTAAGTGTGCAGTGAATCCAGTCATCAATCCAAACCCCGTCTGGAGTCACCCCTAAATCATGACAATATTATAGAAACAGTCACCTTGAATTATTTATTTTGGTAAGCTGGAGAAAGGAATTTGATGTCGAATAATGACGTCTACCGTAGCATGTATCAAGTTCAGTGCTGTCTGTTTGGACTGATTTTCAGATGAAAGATAATTTGTGTATCTTCACAAGCAACAGTTCTTCAGGTTGGCAGTTTTCTTGCAAATTATGAGAGTTCTGGCCAGGGCCCATACCTGTTAAGTCTGTTGCATTATGAGTGATGACATTAGAGGGATGTGGGGAGGCATGGAATTAGTTGGGTGGACATGAATACAAGGGAGCTGCAAATCATACTGTGGCGTGAATATTGCAGTGGATCAGTCATGTGAAAGTTGGCAACCTGAGGTTGACTGTACAGTGTGATATTCCCCAAACTTCTGATTTCATTTTCCATTTCCTGGCAGGGGATTGGGCATTATTGTGTTGTTGAAGAATGGTTGCTTTACTTGGGGTAAAAAAAAAAGTAAAGGTATCCCTGTAACATGCCACGGAGGCCCATAGGGTTGTGAGACTTCAAGGCCCCCACATTTTCTGTAGACAGTCAGCCTGCAGATAGCGATAAGATTGTCAGCCTTACGTGTCGGCTCATTTCTGTTAGAAGCTGAGTCGACACCGGGGCCATAGTGCGGCTGGAAGAATTAGGTCAATTGAAAAAGAAATCCAGTGTCCTCATCAGGACTTGAACCTGCGACTTTCCGGCTTGTAGCATAGCGCCTCAACCAACTATGCTACTGCGTGCCCTTTACTTGGGGTAATAATGAGAAAACTGCAGTGCAAAAATAGCATTTTGATGTAAAAGTGATAATTCCCCCTGTGATTATGTTGGTCATACTGCAGATATCCTTCATGGACAAATGGAAATGAGATGCACATTCCATGGTGAATAAGGAGTGTCTCACTGTATTGGCCATATAAAACTCCTCTGTTTTGATGGACGACGTAAAATGTCAGCCTGCTTTATTTGTTGTGCATGAAGTGAGCTGCTCTGGTGCGTTCCTTCATTGTCTCGAAGCTTGAAGTAAACACAAGAAGAGTTTATCTTGTAAAAACTTAAGTGAAAACGAAATTGTAATTGTTTTTTATACTAAAGTGATTATTATTTTCTAATTTCAGGAGGGCAAATGCCACTAGGCTTTGTAGCAAACCAGACGAGGACACAAGGTTCACAGGTGAGCACGTGAAACATTTGTGTTGAAAGTCTGTGATGAGATTTTTGTTTCTGTTTTTTGTGTTTATGTGTATGTTTATATATTTTTTACAGCCCTTCTATCCACGAGGCCCAGCACCACGGATGCCAAATCATAGGAATCAGGTTGTCAATATGCAGCCTAATAATGTTGGACAGCAAATGTTCCCACAACATGTAAGTGTCATGCTGCATGCAAGTTTGTGTTGTAGTGAACCAAATATTAAATCTGTATCAGCTTTGAAGATTTCATGGCTATATTGACGTAGAAACATTCAGAACTTCTTCGGGGGAAGGAATAAATTTTCTAGATGCACTGTAATTTTTGTAAAGACTCCTTATGACCGGACTGCAGTATAATAAACTCCTTTTTTATGTGATTATAAGCATTCGTCTAGCCTTGGTGCTCACAGAATAATTTTGCATGGTGCTGAAATTTGCGATATTCTGATACTCGGAGGAATTTCCGGTGCCAGCTCTCATTCTTGCAGTCTGTTTTCTTAATATGCATGTTGATATTATTCTGTCAACTCCATCACTTTAACAGTGAGTGAAAATTCTGAATTGATGAAATTTTTGGTTCTTATGGCAGTGAATTGTTGAGCATTGCGTGAACATAAATTATGTAATAGGTCATGAATGAATGAGCAGTATTTAGTTTCTAAGAAGGGTGACTTTCTCTCAAACCAGATATCCTACAGGTAAGATTCCTCTGTTAATATTTTCATTTTACTCTTTATTTCAATTGTCTATGTTTGAATGAACTATTTATATATATCTTTTGTCAATTTCATGTATATTCATCGACAAAGTAATACTATCATTTGCGGTGTGTATGTTTTCCTGATGCCAGGGATCACCTTGCTAGGATATAAACAGGAATATGCTACATATAGCGCCTAACTCCGCTGGGAAGCGTATCTTCATAGAAGGCCTGTGTAATGCAGTCAGAACTCTATTTTAATTTGTCCTTCAAGACTGTTAAGATCAACTTCACAGATATGGTCAGCATTATTTCCTGAGCATAAATTTTGCTTTGCTTTTCTGTTGACTGTTACAGCTACTGTTGGTCAGTAGAACCTTTATACATGGTGCAGTCATTAAGTTCGTGGACTGTGGTTTTATTGCAACGTATTACAAGGTATTCATTCACATACGCTTATGCAGATCCACATCGGCCCTCAAAATAGTCGCAAACTTTGATATAGCGGCCGAAAACATTGCTGAAACATGTTGGAAGGAAATTCCCATACCGTGTCTCGTGTGACATTGATGATCTCGCAGAGTACTGAAATCCGTGACCACGTAGCTTTGTTTTGAAGCTTTGAAAGAGAAAGAAATTGCATGGCGCGACAGTGGACTTCCAATAGTGAAAATGAGTCTGCTTCCGTAGTTCGGGATGAAATAAATTTGTGGTGCATGTGGTTTGCAAGTGCAGATTGCATTACCCATTTTTGGTCTAATCACTCTAGTTTGTAGAATATTTAGGTTTGTTACAAGGTAGCTCAGTGGCTATGGCTATCTCAGTTGTTTATGGCCTTTTACAGCTAGTAAGTCCCTGTTTTCGGAAGATGATAATGTGCAGAGAGTGCATAGTCATATTGTAGCTAAACCTTGTAGACTGATGGTGGCATGCACACAGGAAGGACTGAATAGAATTTAAGAGATGATCCATACAGTTGCGTTCTCTTTTATTGCAAAAGGAAAGCTGATTAGAATGAAGAGCACTGTCTTCTGGGATGTAGTACTTTGTAGTTCATTAGAAGTTCATTCACAGTTTGGATGAACATTTCTGCCTCCAGTTTCAGGGTGAAGGATCCTTGCAGTAAACTTAGAGGCAGGCAGGAAACTGAACTTATACCATTTCACATGCTGTCACATTTCAAAAGGCAGTGCTGTTCATGGTCACCGGTCTTGGAACTACAAATTCAGTATTTGTATGAAATGTTGCTAATATCTGACCATGCTGTGCTGTTGTTGCAGATGCCGATGTCCCAGGTGCAGCAATTATATGGACAGGGTGTCATGCCTACTCAGATCCCCACTCCACAGATGTTCGTGCCGTCCCAGTTGTCTGTGGTAAGATACATGTGATTCACTTGGAGGAGGCGCCAAATTAATGATTATAAATTGTGCAATAACTTAACCAATGAAAATGAAAGAACCTTGGTAAATGTCGAGGTAATCGAGTTATAGAAGTCGTTGAAATCGTGTCCTTCCACCCAGAGACACAGATTGGCATGATACTGTATTTGAGTGAATGTAATAGTCAGTGTGGCTTCAGAGACTCCAATGATTGTAAAAGTCATGTGAACCAGGCAGTCATAAGGGCAGTGTAGCCAAGTTTCATTTTTATTGGTAAATTATTGCAGGATTTATGTTAATTCAGTGCCTCTTCTAAGTGGATAACCCCTCTCTTTTCTCTGTTATAGCACAGTGGCTTATAAGTTTGTAAACTGTTTTAAGAAATTCAGTCTTAATCTAAATGCTGCTTGTCCTTGTGGCCACCTCCTAAATTTACCCAGGAAAAAATTTTTTTGTGTATAAAATTGATCAAGTAATGCTTTCACCCTTAAAATACTATCTTTGTCTCAGATGTTCTTCGCTTTTAATTTCATCATAAATCCTGTATTTTGCTGTTATGTGTCTCAGATATTGGACTTTGGATATGGGATTTATTTTGCTAGAGAGATGACATTACTCGATATACTCGATAAGTTTGTGAAGTAAGTCCCCTGTAGAAGAAAATTATTCTGTTATTCTGCATATATCTTGCTCTTTGCGTCTTTAGGGAAGCTCTTTGCAACAGAAAAAGTTTTCTTGAATTTCACCATCGTTTACAAACAATACAAATGCTACAACATTACTTTCATTGGTGAAATCTGATAGACTTACCAACCTGGATAGAGGAATTGTTATTCTTCAGTTTATCACTCAAAACCTTCTCAACATCATGTGACTTGAGATCACTGTGTCTGTTGTACTGTTTGAAAGCAGAACATTTTCAGTTTCTGTTATTGCGTCTTGTCCTAACATTTTACCCACTTTAATTTTACATGCTGCGATTATTAGGTTCTCACCAAGTGTGAATTTTCCTTTTCTGGGCAGTAAGTCCTGCTACGCAGTAACTTACTTCATAGCTTTTTCAATGACTGACTTTTCTCTGTTTATTTTGAGATTCCAGTGGCCATTTGAAATAATCAGCACTTTTACTAATCATGTGGCCTTCATTTCAATTTTGCTGGAGCCATTGCTGCATTTGTAAGTTGTTTTCCGCAGATGAGGCACAGTGGGATAGGACAACTTGAATCAGCAGGCAATGTAGAGCCCATTGAGATAAGTAGATTTCAGTGTAAGGCTTGTGCACCAAACCCATCAGAAATGTGTGTATGTGTGGGACTAAAGTCCCTCTCTTTTATTGCACACATCTTCAACAATTGCCACATGGGACTATCAAACATATCTGTACAACACAGGGGTTAATAAGGTATAAAAAAGGCGTAGTAGATAACTAAACAAGAAAATTGCCAAAGAAATACGAAAACTTCACAATGCTTTTAACCGACAAAATCCACTGTATCCATCGTTTACATCAAGTGTTTGCCTTATTCCTCTGGGATAGTGTTGCCAACCATTAAATTCAGATCCTTCACTCACGTCTGGTTCCATTCATTCCACCCTTAAATACAAGTCGCCAGAAAAGAATGAAAACAATTACAGTGTTACTATGCTGTTAACATTATTGAAAGTCAGATAACTCATATAACCACAGAATTTTAGTGATTAAAGAAGGTAACAAGGCAATATTATTTTTTGATATTAGTTGTGAACTACAAATATGGGAAATGAATAACTTTAGTAATCATTATTAATATAAACACAAGCGTGAACGTGAAAACAGGATGTTTGTTTGTGTATATAAATATATGTATTCCCCCATTCTGGGGAACCCCTTTTGAGAATGGCTGCTTGAGGCAGTAAGTTTAATTCGCATGAGGAAATAATGGTTATTACTGGTTCAGGAACCTTGTTATATAACATAACTGGAATTTAAATTCCCAGTGGGACTTTATCTCACAGTGTTAGTTAATTGGATTTAATTTCCCCCCCCCCCACGTGGAGGAGTTAAGAGATGTAAGTATTTTACTGATCAGGGTCACTATGTTTTTGTGGGTGGTTGTGTTCCCAAAGAGTTCTGTCTTCTGGTTTGTGCCCAGTGCATTCCGTTAGAAGTTGACTGGGGTTCTAACGGAACCTACAGTTTCCATCTTCAGGCTTGGAGCATAAGTCAGATAAGCAGCAAACACATGGCTTCACATCCCAGAAAATAGTACACTTCTGTAGACATGCCTGTGAGAACTTCAGATCTGGTGTGTGTTGTGTCATGCAGTGGACTGTGTTCGATTGTTCTTGCCGTGAGGAGTGCTGCATTATCACTTCTGTGTTGCAGTTCACAAGCCAGCCACGGCACCAGAATCACACAGGAGGTGGATATTACCAGCAGACAGCCCCCCAGCAGATCTTGATGACGCCACCAGTGTATCAGGGGTTCCAGCACCACCCTTCTTCTCCGCAGTGTATGTTGATGGTGTATTCTTTTACCTGCAGTTAGTTACCCTTTAGTTTTAGTAGGCATATATGGGTACTTTAAAGAGTTGTATTGCTAACAAGGGCTATGAGCAGTAATGCATCATTACTGCTCACTACAGGTTTTAATTCTTCCTTATGTTGAGTAAGTAATGAAATGTACCTTTTCACAGCACTTGCAGCTAGTTATCACTCCATTCTGGGTCTGGTGTAATTGGTGTACGAGTAAACTTCAGGAGGATGGGTGTGGAAGTTTTTGAGGCACCCTTAAATGATTAGGAATAATAAGAAACAAAAGGAACTTAAAAGCTGAAGGAAATGCAGCTGCTCAGGTAGTTATTTAATAATGGATTGTCATATGGTTATGGTACCTTCGGCTGAGAAGGAGAGGTGAAGAGAGAGACTGAGCAGGGTAGCTTATTGGCAGTGATATAGACTTGAATTCAGGAAGTCGTCAGTTTGAGAGTCTTGGTGAGGACACTGGGCATCAGTCTCCCCAGGCAAATTTTGGGATAGCAGTTCTATGGGCCAGACCTAGTTACTTGCAAATCAGTACTCGTTGTACCATTTGGTGCTGTGTTGTGTATGTATTGACAGCGTCATAAAAACATCCACAGAAGGGAGAGTGAACATTGCACTGCCGATGCATTCTGCGTTTTTATATATATATATTTCCAAGTGTTAGCAAAATCATCAAAATCTCCCATTGAAATGTGTTTGTTCGCAAGCTTGCTGAGCTCACCTTCTTGTACAGAATGCCATAGTTTTCTTATGTTTTTTTTTTTTTCACCGGACTACAGTACTGAGCAAGTACTGAGTGAATACACGTATTATAGATAAGCAGCGGCACGCACACAGGGAGCCTACACAGAGTAATACCCGAATAATGCTGAAAACAAGAAGTAGCCACTGCAGTACTATAGACATGGTGCGGGTAACCCTGATAATTTTAAAATTTAAAATTGGAATTGAAAATTTTAAAAGTGCCAGTTCATGAAAATCAAATTGACATGTGTAGGTTAACAAAGATTTTATACATATCTGACAAATATCAGTGGGGAAGATTCTGATATATCGGAACATGTTAGCAACGGCGAAATGAACAATTGGGAAGACTAGTGTTTTTTAAATTTTAAACTACGTGCAGTGTAGCAGCTACGTGAGAGTATACACCTGGTGATGGCCGTTTGCAGTCGAAACATGTAGTGTAGAAGAAAGCAAAATGAAAGAACTACAATAAATTGTTGCACATAGGGCGGAGTTTACGTCATATATTTTATTTTGATGCATCAGAAAGAAGCTGTCTGCGAAGAAAGTGTAATATTGTGGTACAGCTGGCAGGGGAGTGATAGACCACATGCACAGGGCACAGCTAAAATTAATGCTGGCAGACAACGTGACTGCGACTGTTCAATCGAAAGCCTTTTAAAACGGGGGATTAATAGCAGGTACTTTTTTCTGAATAGAAAATAATTATAGAAAGAGGAGGACCGACAAGCGAGTTGCCAGAACTTAAAGCACAAACCAAATTATGTGTGACAAAATTTAATTTGGAACAGTATGCTACAAGTTGGAAGGTTGCGGGTTCAAGTCCCGATGAGGTCGTTGGATTTTTTATTGTCCTAATCATTCTGACCGCACTATGGCCCTTGGGTTCACTCAGCCTGTAACAGAAATGAGTACCAGGAATTAAATAAATAATTTTCCTGGGGAGTAAAGCGCGGATGGCGCATAAGGTTGACAACTTTACTGCCATCTTTGAGCCGACTGTCTAGATAGTGTGGGACCCTCAAAGTCTCACAACCCTATGGGCCTTCACGGCCTGTTACAGGGATAGCTTTACTTTTTTTTTATTCTAAAACAATGGCTATCCAGTTGCCGTAATATAGGAAAATTGTTTTGTTGGCATGCCTATTGTTTCTCAATGAAAAAAAAATGTATGGAACAAGACTGGGTTTGGTGATATCAACAACCTTCATAAAGCATTGAAACGACATGAGAACTCTCAGACTCACATTATTTCAACAAAGCAACTTGTGTTCGGGAAATCTCGAATTGACTGTAAACTTGACGATTGAAAGCGCCTGATGATACTACAGCCTAATGAAAACGTGAAAGAAAATAGAATAATAATGAAATACTTGATTGATATCATCTGCCTTTTAGGAAAGAGGCAACGTGCCCTCTGTGATCATGACGAAACTGTGGAGTCTATTGACCGAGGTAATTATGTGGAAATTAGTTCACTTGTTGAGGAAATATGATCATAAACTCAATGTTCATCTTGAGAACAGTACAGTATTTAGAGGTTTTTTGAACAGAATACAAAATGACTTTACTGACTCAATAAGTGACGTAAATTTTGGTGAGTTGATTGCTATCAGTTCGTTTATTAGCTACCACTGCTTCCCTTACCAAAAATAGTACCGCACGCCACTGATTCTGTGAATAGGTCGAACAGGGTGCAGAAACTTTTGTGCAATGGCCTGGCCTTTGTCATGTCCGTTCATCAGTGATGTGAGATATGTTCAGCTGTGTTGCTGCACTGATGTGAGGTGTCTTAAATTTTATACAAAGTGAAAGTGCCATGGCCCTTTGAAATTTACTGTGTTATACCAAGTTAGGATAAGCAAGAGTTTAAGATTGTTACAGAATGTTGCATCTATCAAACATGGCCTTGCTTTTTTGTTGGAATATTGAATGTATTGCACCAGTAAGAGAGATAGAATGGTCCAAAGGAAAATGTTGATCGTAATGTAGAATGTGTTATGTGTGATTACAGATTATTATCAAAGCCCCATGGCTCTTCCTCGACCAAGTGGGGGTGTTACAGGAGCTCCTGGTCCGGGTGGGCTAGCAGGCACAGCTAGTCAGCCAGTAATGACCGGGGGCCCGAATCCGTCACAATTGGGTCAGCCTGGTGGTTCAGTTGCTTTGGGCATTGTGCAAGGCCCTGGTGGAGTGGTGGGGGTAGGAGGACTGGGTGGTGACACGACTGCAGGCCCAGCTACGACATCAGCGACAGCTGGCAAGCAGACTCGACGGAGATTTGCTTTAGATATAGTTGATCCGAAAACTATGAAGAATATCGATGTTTATGATGGCAGTGTCACATCAAGCAGCACGCCGCCTCATTCTGGAGAGTCTAGTGCCCGGGACACACCTCAGCCGGTAAGTACCTTACTGAGAAAGTTACGGCAGACTTGTGTATTTATTTTCTCCAGTTCATTGCATATTATACACAGACACTGTGTGTGGCAGTCAGTCCTCATGTCAGTAGGAAATGTGTTAGTGTGGTCACAGAATATGCTGTCTGTCCGTGTATCTATCTATGATCCTACAGCCCTCTGTTGGGCCTTGGCTGCTTTTCGGTTTCTTAATCCTGTGCACAGTTTGTGGGACAACTTGTCCCAAGGCCTCTAAACAAACAGAATAAACGCACACAGACATCCGTGCCTGGAGTGGTATTCAAACCCATGACCCCAGTGTTCCATTGAATGAAGACGGTTTATACGTTAGACTGCACAGCCACTGTGATCGGCACAGAACATACTGCATGAACCAAAAATTATTAATATGTATCTTTATAGATTATCGATCTGTTATATTACGTTATGTAACGTAGATGACCAGGAGCTTTGATTTTGTTGTGATTGCTGTGTAGATAGATTGCCTTTGCTATGGCTGTTTAGCCCCCTCTGACCATTTTGGAGCCTAGGGCCCCCTGGCATTTCTATTGGCATCAGTATGACTGAACCCTCCCCGTATAATGAGGCAAGGTAACACAGGTAAGACGCATTTAATGGAAGATTGTTGCTAGCGATACGAGATAATGACAAATCAGTCACATAAGTGTCATTTTATTGTTTCAAGGATTTGTTCCTTTTCTGTAACATCGTTGAGAATACGTCGTCATCAGATTATGGCATACAATTGTGTGTCATCATCAGAGTGTTAGTTAGTTAGTAAGTAAGTAATTGGAGAGGGTGGGTTTCCCCGTGCACTGAGACCTGTATTGGTCCATTGTGCTTCCCTCTATGATTTCTACCAGTCTCCTATATCCTGCCGGTACTGGTGCTTACCGTCAGTCCCGCCCAGCCAGCGAGACCGGCTCTACTAGCTGAGAGGTATCTATAATGCTTCCCCCATCAACCAGGGGTATTAGAGACTGCTGTTGGGCGGGAAACGTCTGTTAATTTGGCTCAGTGACCTTTGGAGATATGAGGTTCTTTTACGTGCCATAAAGCTACGACCCACGGCTTAAAGTCCCTCCCGGAGGACTTGTTCCCTGAAATTTTCCGCCCTTAAAAATTCGACGACCTCCACCAGGTATTTGAACCCGCATACTACGAATCATGAGGTGGGAACGTTACCTCTAGACTACGGAGGCCACTTCATCAGAATGTTAGAAGATTCTGTTGTTAATCACTATACCTGAGATCTTGTTGAACATAGAGGAGTTCTCTTTGTATGGTTTCCCGCTCAAGGTATTAACGTAACTTGAGGACATTGTTGAGAATAATTCGGTCATTGAATAGAAGAGAATAATATGTAGTGAATTTGTATGTACATGGAACAGGTAGAAGGAAGCGGGAAATGGAGTACCTAAACCATCACAAGTTGTGTAGAACAGTGAAGTAGAAGAACCTAGCCTTTTGGTAAACAAATAATAAAACTTGATAATAGTGGTTACTTGCCCTAACCAGAGCACATTGGATTCATTGCACATTTATACATGCAGCTCCTAACCACAAGTAACTGTAGTGCTGTTGCTAATTCACACACACTGCAGTTCACTGCAGCACAGACTTCTAAGCATGCTGTGTCTTGTATTGGCTTCCAACAGCAGATGTTCCCAAATGTCCCCATGTCTCAGCTGCTCACAAACACAGCAACATCTCCCAAGGACTGAATTGCAGCAGTCCTCTTAACTGATGCCATTGCTTGGAAATGGGTTACATAACTTTGTTCTGTTGTTGCGTGCATGTTGTTCGCATTACCTAGCAGCAGCCATTGTTTACAGAGTCTCTGCTTAGCAACAGTTCTTTGTTTTACATTATATAGCCTTGACAGGGACCACACAGAGCACCAGGAGGCTGCTTCCAGCAGCTCTTCTGTTGTATGCGTGTGTCTGTTGAGGCTGTTATCTAACACTGACTATTGTTTACAAGGGTCATTACTTGATATTTTATAGGTGTTTATTTAATTGTTGTTGGTTAGCAATGGGTCTACATACCACAGCATTTCACTGAATTTTTCTACACTGTGAATTGGGTAATCTAGAATCGTGTAACTTTCGTTATGTTCAGACTTGTGCCAGAAATGTGCAGATATGCTGCTCTATATTATCTTTTCTGGAGTGAGTGGTGATTTGTTATATGAGTATTGTGCTTGTTTGTGCATAGTGTGGCACCGCGTGCACTGATATTGCCTATTTCAGTCTTTATAGCAGATGTTTCAGTAGGTGAAATCTCTAAAAGACTGCAGAAAAATAATCCTGGGCATAAATTCAGGGGAATGTGGAGTCAGATTGAAACCAGTGTGAAAAGTAGTTCATTATGACATGTGGACCAAAATATTCAGTGAGCATGTCTAGGAAAGCATTTATTGAAGTTTGGGGGGGGGGAGGTGGTGTAAAATAAACCTGACATAGCTCTTGTATTGGGGGCACAAAATTTAAGCCATTAGTATATTTGTTGATGAGATGTTCTCATGTGTTAGTCAGTAGACATTGGGATTCGAATTGGTAATTGGATTTATTGTACACTTATAACTACAAATCATTATAACGCTGTCACTGGTTTACACGCTCTAAATAAAGTTCACTGTAACTACAGCACACTCAAAGTCTTATGTGCTTTCTCTGGTTGTTGTTTGGTAGTGGCTCCTAACAATGTATATTCCGTTGCTCCCGTACTCATGTCCTTACCAGCTGGCGGCTGCCTCGCTACTTTCACAGCTGCAACTCACACGCTTCTGCCATTGGTCCTGATTATATAGCCTCAGAATGTACTGCATATAATACAATACAGCACAGACTGAGTGGAAAACTCTGATTGTCATAATTCTTGATCACAAGCCATTCTGTAACAGTAGCCTGTGTGTTTACTGTCCGTTGCATAGCAACGGCTTCCTCACTTCATTGATTACGCTTTCAGAATGTTTCACAATATGATAGCTACAAAGTTCAGGCATTTGTTAGCCATTTGCATGAAATTGCAGGGGTTGAAGGGTTGCACATTGAAAACCTTTTGACCTAAGAAGAAGTTGTGTATAAATTCCTGTGTCTTTTATGCTGTCTGGAATATTGGGGTATGAGTATTATGGTATGTGTACTTAAAACCATGTATTTTTTTAAGATCCTATAAGGAAGTTGTAATATAGGTTATATTTTCCCCTGTGTTGCCCCACTACTACGTGTATTTTGCTTTATATTTGTCTTGAGATTGCTTGTTGAATATTGTTTTGCTTTTCCCATTGTTGGTAGAACACGGGTCCCAGTGCCAGCGATGTGGCTGCAGATTTTGCGGCTCGTGTTGCGAAGGCAGCAAGTGAGAAGTCAAGTCCTTCTCCCCTCCCTGTAGTCTCTCAGGCGGGACCTCCTGCATATATTGAGTCCTCCCAGACGGTGACAGCAAATGGACCTGATTCCTCGGGTGCGAAAAGTATACCTCCATCTGAATGCATGGCCTCTGGTAGTGTTCGTACTCCCGGGGAGGCCATTCCAATTAGCAAACAACAAATTGTAGTTGTAGAAGAATCAAGTAATGTGCCACCATTGGCTCCTCCCACCATCTCCCCCGTGACAGGGACATCATCAGCATGGAAGCAAGGCCAACTACCACCTTCAACTTCCACGAATTTAGGCAGTAAACCTAGTGGTAGTAATAGTAAAAGTGACATTAGCAGTCAAGCAGTATCAGATGAAAAGGTAGGACTGACCAAGCTGGAAATTGAGCCTCAGGTAGAATTTGTGCCCAGTGTGAGTGCTGCTGAACTGAAGAACTCTATCCCCCCTGTGGTGATTATTAAAGACTTGGAGTCAACGCCCGTGGTGAGTGCTCAGACAAGTGCTCCGATGGTCGATGTGGTTCGCAGCAGTCGTGATGCCCTGAAAGCTAATGCCCTTGTTAATCAGTCTCCAAGGCGGAAACAGACCCAGCGTCCAGACGCTGCCTCCAGTGTTCCCCTGGCAACCACTGTTGCTTCAAATTCTTCTGTTCAGTCCACACTTCCTCCTGCCTTATCTACCTCTCGAGAGACAACACCAACAGCAGAAACCAAGGGCTCAAAGAAATCTGCCTCAACAGAAGAGTCCGCTCCTCCTTCATCTGCATTCCCAGTTTCCCAGTCTCCCAGGGAGAGGCGGGACCAAGATAAATCACATGGTCGTGAACATGAAAAGTCCTCCTCTGTATCATCACAAGGCAAGGGGGAACGTGAGAAGTCAGTGTCTTCATCATCGTCGTCATCCTCCCAACATCATGGTCGTGACCGAGAAAAGTCTTCCCTCGATAAGGACAAATCTTCCCTTGATAAGGACAAAGCCAACACAGCCTCTCAAGGTGGACATAAAGATCGTGACAAGTCTGCCTCACGAGGTAGAGACCGTGACAAGTCTTCCACAAAGGAAGCCACTCCTGTCCCATCACCTGTAGTCTCAGTTGCGCCAACTGTGACATGTGCAGCAAGTCAGCCCCAAGCAGGGCAGCCAGTACTCGCCAGACCAACTGCCGCAGCAGAGGGGACAAAGCAGAACAATGGTGAAATGACAGTAGCAGACACAACAGAAGGTGAGTACATGTTTACTATGAAGATTTTGAAAACAGTGCATAATGTTCAGCAGTTTTTAGTTTGTAACTCTTAAGGTACAGCTTCATAACTTGTACTCTTCTCCAAGTATAATTAGAATGATGAAGTCATGGAGGATGAGTTGAGCAGGGCATGTAGCACGAATGGGGAGAAGAGGAATGCGTATAGGATATTGGTGGTATGGCTGGAGGGAAGGAGATCATTGGGAAGACCAAGGTGTAGGTAGGTGGACAATATTAAAATGGATCTTAGAGAGTTAGGATGGAATGGTAGGGATTGGATTGATCTGGCTCAGGAGAGGGACCAGTGGAGAGCTCTTATGCACATGGTAATGAACCTTCGGGTTCCATAAAATGCTGGGAAACTCTTGAGTAGCTGCAGATTTGACTTTTCCTCAAGAAGGGCTCAGCTCCATAAGTAAGTAAGTATCTCAAGGTACTTTGTTTTATTCAGTCAGCTCTTGCTAGTAAACCTTAAGCCTACTTTTTTCAGCCCTTGCACCCGTTTGTCATTTGAATTTTTCTGTTGTAATTATTCCTTCACTGTGTAAAGAATTCTTAATAATATGAGTACATTTTGTGCTGTTTTCTTGGAGTCGTGTATTAAGAAATTACTACTCCAGCAGACTTCGATATTTATCTTGTAGGTAAAATAGAGTAAGACTTGTGTCTTCCTAACTTAGATATATAGCTTTGGCTTTCAGGGTTGAGGCACATTGTATATTGAACCTGTTACAGCATTTCAGTATACACTGCAGTTACTGTCTTCATGCAGTGCATGGTGACTGCAGAAACCCGGAAAGTTTCAATGTACAACACAGCTTACCCTGAAAGCCAGAACAGTGTGTTGGACACAGGCCACGAAAGTATGCAGGTTTGCAGTTTTCTTACATTGAATGAACATTATAGGTGTCATCAGTAGCACTCGCTGTATTTTGTTGAGATAACATTGTCTCCTTTTTTAATTTGTGGAAGATGATGGAAGCTCTGCTTCACTTACTGGAGGTCTTCCTTTAGAAAAGAATTGAAAATAGTAGTTTTGTTTTAATTTTGGCATTATATTGTACCCAGACAGCATCAAGTATTTTGATAAGTTTTGAATTGAAGAGGTCTCATACTTTGAACTGAATCTCGCGCTTATAGATCATGATGTGTGTATTCTGACATTCCTCTAGAGGGATTGAAAAACTGCAAACTGCACAGTCTTGGTTGCAGTTGACACACACTTTCAGTTGGTTGTTGTCTTTCTGTGAACTCATTGACAACAAGAGGATATCACATTTTCGCTGGTGTTTCTCTTCCATAATTTGAAAAAAGAGCCTGGAAGCTGTTGTACACAGTCGATCTGGTGTCACTTGAATTCCTATTCTTAATGAAAGGAAGTCGATTAGGTTTCAGCTCAGTCTTCCGCTACTTCCCGTTCCATATCTTAAAACGCACATTGAAAATACACGAACTGAAGTACGTATATGTATTGGATCTGAAGGTCCTACAGCAGTTCCTGAAGAGAACTCGTGTTCTGGGATGTGACATTTTGCAGTCTGGAAGAAGCTCTCAACTATGATGTTTCGGAAGAACGTACTCCAGAGTTGAAGAGTAGGACAGTTGAGCACAATGAGCCAGCCTGCTGTGGCGCTACATTATGTTACTTCCCAGAAACTTCAGAATGTCATAATTTTACTTTTTAATTTGTTCGGGTGTGAAACTTGGTCCGTCACTGCAGTGGGTTCACGCATTTGTGAGAGAACGATTACTGAGGAAAGTATTTTGATGCAAACAAGTGGACGTAACAGGAGACAATGTGACATGATGGGGAGCTTCATAAACTGCACTGTCCAGCACACACAGGAATGATCATACCAAACAGAACTGTATATTAGCTACAAATATGAAGGGAACAGTCTGTTTCCAACACCTAGACAAAATAAGGTCAGAATTGAATCCATCAGGCTCAAGATGGATGGATAATTTAGCGAATATCAGCCATAGAAGGAATCTTCATGGACCTGGATCAGTCGGCTTGTATAGAAGTGACGTTTGAATATGAAGGTGCTGACGTAACGAGTATGTGGACTCTCAAGGTCTCTCTCCCGGCTGCATTTTCTCTTCTTATTCTGGTGACATCAGACGCTGAAGTAGTCACCTCCGGCCCCAAAGCAGTGCCATAAATCGAATGCCGTAGGAATATCGATACCGCTAGCAGTGTTTGTATTAAGATCTGTTAATATCGCCCCCCCCCCTTTTTAAGATTCTGGACGGAGTACTTTGTGGCATGTGACGCCCTGTAGTTTGATAGATGTTTGCCGACGTTTCGGAAGTGTGTTCTGCAATGAAATGGGTAAAAAATGGTAAAGTTGTTCCTCAGCTAAACTGAGCACTGTGCCGCGAAGAAGTATGGTTGGGTGGGTGTATAGACCTCGACACTAGTTGGAGGTGAGTGGTCAGCTTCACTCCCCCGGGGAAACAACCCGCGGTGGTTTGGACGAGTCGCTATACCGACTGCGCTGCCCCGGCGCCGCATGAGAACGTAACATACGGGGATGGTGTATTGTCGCGGGACAAAGTAGAACAGACGATATCACGCATGGTACGGGTATTTTCGCGTTCGAGAAGTTAACGCCTGCACTTGTTCTTAATTATGCTGCAAGGCACGCGACTTACAGGGGAGTGGAGTTACGGCACCACGCATTCGTAACCTCGGCATTAGGTAGAGGTAAGTGGTTAGCTTCACGCCCCGACCGCTCAGTTCCCGCATAAAGATCCATGCCCACCCACTGGGCAGGAGACGGGCTGCGTTTGAGTGCTTTCGACAAAAACGTTTCTTTCCGCTGCCTTGAAGCGAACCCAGATTCGCCGGCCATCCAGCCTGTAGTCTAGTCACTACACCGACTGAGCTATCACGTTTCGAATTTGAGCCCCGTGCAAATATTCCTTCCTTTCTCCTTTAGTCCGGCGAGTCGTTGTCCTTCAACTCTGCTGGGATTGCCTCGAGACATATAACTGTGCAGGAGCCGGCAACATGGCACCAGAACTCAAGGTTACTCAGCCCCTCGGCTGGCGGCGTGGTCAGTGACTCCACTGAACTGGAGCTCGTCGGGCCCAAAACCTAGAGGTTGATGAAGTAACGGGATAGGCTTCATGAAAGCTGAGGGCTCAGCTAGCTGCAGACTCGTTATGTGAGAAATGTGGGGTGCGAGCAGTGAATTGTATTATTAGGCCGTAAACATCTGTGAGTACGCGTCGTCTAACTCATGGCTCGTCATTTGAGGGATGCCTGGGCCAATTTTAAAAATGCAGTGGGAACTAAAGCTCTTCGAGTGTTCGTTCAACACGTGTTTCTATAACGTACCCACAGAGATATTCTAGATAGACTTCCTGAAACTCGTTTCTGGATGGGGCTGATTGATGTGGCCGGTTTCAGCCCTGGGAATGGGGCTGCAATGGATCCTAAGCCCTTCTGACCGTAATGACGGCAATTACTCATTTCCCGAGCTGTTATCATGGCGAAAGGGGGTGGATATCGAAATTGTAGTTAGGGAGAGCGCTGCTTTGCGGCCGATAGATCTGGCTGCAAAGATAATAGGTTAATCCTCCGGGTACTCCATAAATTGTGTGGTTCGCGTATTTTGGTACTGGTTGCGTGAGACCCGTCAAAACGAGAGTGGGGGTGTGCATGAAGGAAGTGGCTGAGGGTTCGTGGTACAGCTCTGTTACTTGCCTTGAGCTGTTCGTTAATCTTAGAAAATAACTAGGAGAAGCTTAATTTGATTACTTCTCGGGGCAGCGCCTTGCTGCGCTTTAAACTTCAGAGGCCGAAGGTGGAAGCAGTATGTTCTGTCGTGCGACCCAGGGACAGATGCCAGCACAGCCCCGACAGCCTCAATCGCAGGGACTTACGTACTTCAGTATACCTGCGTCGCAGTTCGAACCCATGGATCGTCCAGTTAAGTGAAACGCAGTCGCCGCGAGCACTGATTTGTGCCCGTACACAGAAACAGCCTTCCCCCCACTCTGCGTCATCGTTTCTCGGGATTGCTGCTGTTTATATTATTTTCTACTCGCACAATAAGTAACTATTTAATGGAATTTTCGTTGTTCAGTCCGTGCACAAGAACCACGGCGCGTCATATTTGTGTCGACAGTCGTGTGGAAGAAAAGTCGTGTCTGTTTGAATTGATGTATGAAAATATAATATTTGTAACGACGTGACGGCCTGCGTCACTAACTGATTGCGACGCACACCCCGTTCCTGTAGCAGATGGAGTATAACATTTTTATAGTCGTTATAGCGTACGACTTCTGTCGTATTGAAATTCCACATCGCTTCTAACAGCCGAATTGTGAGCTCTGATAATGTTTGAAGGGTTTATAATTTAGATATCAGAGGACTAGAACCCGTAGCTCTGTATATTTCTTCAGTGACGCGTGCTACGTTAATTTTTCCCAGCGGTTTCCGTGTCTTTTCGCAGAATTGAACGCAGGAAGTGGCCTGAAGCGCGTTGCTTGCGAGAGTTTGAGCGATCAGAGGGGAGAGGGTGATGTAAAGTGAATGCCATGAGTCACAGGGCTAGTAGCTGGTCACTAACTTTTGGGATGGACTTCACGTGGCGGACATGTTGGCGGGAGACAGAGGGAGTGCAAAGTGCAAGGCGGTAACGCTGCCGCTTGCTCGGAGATGAGACTGTTCAAAAATAGAACGATCATCATCTCCATCACATCTTGTGACGAGCGGACTCGGTTGGATCTCAGTTTCGTGCAGTTAGGCGTAGTGCGATAGTGATGTGCTGGACGTGTGAGTGAATTGTGCTCCTAGAGCATCATATTTGGGATTAAGTTTTTGTAAAGGAACTTTCTCGTTATGGGGAAGGGTAAGTAACAAAGATTTAAGCAGTATGAGGCCTGTTTCTTATTTCACTGGTGTCTGTGAGTGGATGTTAGTGCTTGTCTGGTCGGGATCTGCCTCAGCAAAAGTATGTGAGTCG